ACATGTGTTCTGGGTTACCATAACGAGGGAGACACACAAACAACGTCGCCGTCTCACCTAAACAAGGATATCGGATTCTCCTAATCTCCATCTTACTGTCTCACTGTAAAAAAACAATCAGCATTACTGTACGTTTGGAAACACAATCTGCTGACGGTGCTTTAATCCACTGATGTTTGATGAGGCAATGAATCTAAGCGTACGTACAGTCATTCATTAGATGTGAATCTGGCCCACAGATTAGCTTCTCATCAGAGCCGTGCAGCAGTTTAACCATGTGTTCCTGATCAGTTCAATTAATCACCATTTATCTAGATAAAGTAAATTTCTCACTGAAGAGAGAGAGAGAGAGAAAAAAAAATCTAAATCAGCCTTTTTGTCCATGAGTTTCACTAGCTTTGCTTGTCAAATGTTGCTTTGGAGAAAGGAGTTGGATTACAAACCAAACTTGCAGTCAGGTAAAGAGGCCAAAACAGCRTGTACGAGCTCTAACTGGTGTTTTTGTTACTTCGTGGGCCTGCGTAAATCTTCCGTGCACGCCGGTGAGTGTGTGTTACCAGATCGGCCGGGCGGTGTGTGAGTAATGTCTCGGCTTTTTGCGATGTTTCTCACATGAAGCGACATCAGAGCCAGAGTAAATGATTAATCAGGCAGGGTGATTTGGGCCTAATGCCGTCTGATAACATTTCTTTCTTTCTTTCTTTTTTTTTCTTCCTGGAAGCTCTGGATTCTGTCTTCACAGCTGGACTTTTATAAGATCTCTCTGCTTTGCAAATTAAAAAAAAAAAACACAGCACTGTTGCAACACTTGCACAATATAAACAGTTGGACAGCAGAAAGAAGCTGACAAGCAATTATTAAAAGCAATAATATTAAAAGCAATGGTAACAGCGGCAAATTCAATTAATTTTTTCGTAATCATGAATGCTTTTTGTTATTATAATTTTTTTGCCTCCGCTGAAAAAGTTTATCTCCTGATGCATCTTAGCAGTGATTTATTTATCACATTTTTAACCTTGCATGCTCTTTTTCTCCCCATCTTTCCTCGATAACAATCCTACCGCTTAATCTCTCAGACAAACTGATGTCATGACATCATTTGTTGTTTCATAAATCACAGCCCACCCAGTCCTCTTAGCCNGCCCCAGCCTCAAAACATTAATTCGTCACGGGCAGCCATCATCTTGTCTTCCTTCAAGATTTACAGACTGTACAAAAATAATCTCATAAAAATAGTCTACGGCTTGAAATGAATCTGAAACCCAATGTGTAAAGTTACAAGGAAATAAAATATATAGTAATAACTAGCAAAAATAAAAAAAGACAAAACCAAATATCCTCAAATGTAAAATCTGACTCTGTTTGGTTGAAAATGTAATCAAAAGTCTGCTTACCGAGGATGATAAAGTGATAAAGTTAACACATAAAGCTAAGTTAAAGAAGACTGTAACACTCATGTTTGAAAAAACTGACAGGCATGAAGGTGTTTCAGATAAATGGTGGATCCCAGTTTGTTTTAAGGTTATGATCTGTGGAAGGTGAATTCTCCTGTTCTTTTCACATTTCAAGAAGATTCCTCCTGATTTCACACCAGTTATTGGATATGTTGGAAGGACAGGGCAGATATTTATGACATCAGACTTACTGACAGATTTATCACATCATCCTCTGAGTTAACGCAGCAACAGGTGTGCCCGCTGGAAACTGGAGCTTTGATTTTTTTTTTAATCAAAGCTCCAGTTTCCAGCGGGCACACCTGTTAGGATTTGAAATCTGTCCAGTATGTAACCTGCTTCTTGTTCAATGATTTTTTTTCACCCCTTAAAAATAAAAAGTAATGGCTAAAAATGCCAAAATATAGATTAAAACAAAAATATAAAAAATGTTTTTAGGCAAGGTATATATTCTGGTATATTCCTTAAACCCATACAAGAGTGCTAAGAGTGAAATACTCCTAAATTTGTACATTTATAACACATTTGTGTCTTTACAAAAACTAATATTATGTGGTAGATGTTCACTCTATCATTTACTTTAATTTTGTATCTTTCAATACCACATTCAGTGACTTGTCAATCAAATGGGGTGGCATCTCCAGAGGCCAATCAGGTTCCAGGACTGACAAGCGCCACCCTGGCCACCCCTCTGTCCCCCCCTCTGCTCAAAAACTATCAACACCAAATAAAATTTTGAAGCATGAAACCATGAATTACATGTAAATAACCATGAAATTTAAAACTGACAGGAATATAGAGGTTCATAAAATAATGTTTGCACGAACTGCTGTGAAATTTTGGAGATGTTTTAAAAGGGCAACTGTGACCCACTGTGCCGTTAGCTCATCGGCCCTGCATTTCTCCAAATTTCCCGCGATGTTTATAACTTTTACACACAAACCCCACTTCAGTACGGCCTGAAATTTGCCTTTAATGGTGGCGGTTTAACTCAGGTCAGTTCACACGACCAAAAGGATTCAATGCGAATGGATTACGGGTGAAATAACAAAGCAGAATTTTTAATAAATCACATCAAAGACACACCGCTGACTACAACATTCGGCCTCTGTCTCGGGTTATCACGCCACGTCCTAACAGTGATGAAGCAGCAGATGGGGGGAAACGTAAATGACATTTTCACTCCCTTAATCTAAGTGAGGCTGTTTTTAGGTCTTGAATATGACTTTTTTCACTTAAATTTCAGGATGGAGAGCAAGTTTACATTTCAGATCAAATTCCAGTGCACTGGTTCAAATTAGCTGTCATAATTTGTTACTGGTGCAAACATAAACGTAGCCCGGTTACACGAACATTACAGCTTGATTGTGATTAAACAAATCCAGTAATTAATTATTAGTAGAGCAATTAATGCCATGTTAGGTTCAAGCTGAAAGTGATTTCAGATAAGATAAAATGCGTCACTTATCTGACTTCTCTGGAAGTGCTGCTGTTTTCCTCTCCGGATGCTTTCAAGTTGCCTCAACATGCCATTGACAGCTCTGACGAGACAGACAAACAAAGTCGTAAAGCAAACAAATGTGACATGCCATGTTTGTTTATCGTACATTTTAAAGCTCACAACCAGCGCTGAGGTTATCCCTTTGAATCCTTTCCTGTTCGATTAGCCGTTAATCATCTCTCTGGGAAACATGTGGACCTTGGGTCTGCATCCGAAACATCAAAGATCTCTGTGTGTTGTTGCCTCCATATGAGGGAGTTGGCCTTAGCAGACACTTTTTTTTCACAYGCTGTAAAAAAAAAAATCTCAGAGTGTGTGTATGTATGTGTGCAAGACGGAGAGAGGCAGACAGACAGTCCACTCCACAATGTCGCTAAYATTTTGTTGCCTCCATATGAAGAACTTGGCTGTAGTTGACACGTGGTGATGGTGATGATGGGGTGGTCAACATGCCAGTTGCGCTGGCAACCACATGAAAAGCCCCTTTGATATTCACAGATATGTCAAAGCTGTATGTCATTGCTATTTCTGTAAGGGGAATATTCAAATTTGAAACAGCTTACAGCATATATAGTTATGCTTTCTCATGCCCTGTCCTCTGCCTTTTTGTCAGAATGTTGGTGTTTGTAATGTCATTTAAATATGTTTGAAATCAACAGATTTTGAAGCAAGTTTAAACTAGTAAACAAAAATTTAACCGTCACTTTCTCATTTATAGTGTCTCTCTTTTTTTTCTTAGTGTCTCAATAAAATGAAGATACATTAGCACGGCAGGTCTTAAAGGGGGGGTATTTTGCAAAATCATCTCTTTTTTTAGCTTTTTATCATGTTATAATGTCATTCCCTCATCAAAAACATACTCAGTGTTGCTTTACTCATTCATACATGGTCACGCACTCATGAATCTCCTGTGGTAGCCATTCAGAGATGCCCCAAAGGCTAGCTGATACAAAGCACCTCCTATTTACTCAAAGCTCCTCCCTGGACCTCAGTCTACTGCAGGCTCCCGCCCCACAGAGCACCCCTCCCCCGCACCTCCCCACACAGCTCCACAAAAGCAACAATTAGCAAACACCTGGTGGAACTACACGTCTGTCAAGCTCGTAATACCAACTATTTCTCAGTCTTGTGCTTTTCAAATAAAAAAAATGTATTTTTGGATGCCAATGCTAAGGATGACACGGCTCGTCAAAAATGGTTGGGCTTTTTTCCTATGAAAGGTTGTAAACAGCATAAATGTGATGACGTGCTGAAGTGGGAATGTCTGAAATGGTAGGTGGAAACAGAGGCCAATTTCAAGGTGTTTAGATAGACTATGATAAAAACTCAGATTCATTTTTGATGAATACAGCRTTTTCATAACAACTGAAGATAACACAGTTGTTTCATTGTGGTGTAGAATTGAACTATGTAACACACACACCCCCAACCCACACCCACATGCCTAAATCTGACTTATGTTCTGCAGAAATATGGAGTTCCTAGGTTTAAACTGCATTACACTGATATGAATGATATAAATTTGGATCGATCTGTTTGCTGCTACCTCAATGTAAAATTTGGATTAAAGGCGAAATGATGGTCCAGACTGCAGGCTCATATACATCTGATTTAGTACTACATGAGAAAAAGACACAGGTTGGATTTGAAGAAAACAAAACTGATTTGTTACCTTCTGACTGCTACTTTGTTAGGTGGCTCAGAGGTGTAACAGTGTCTGGTTGACTTCAATCCCCCAAATGTCACCTCAGTTCGTTCTTTCTCTCTCCACTTTTTCGCTTCACTTAATACGTTTCCCCAAAGAACAAGTAAAAAGAGTTTTATGTCACCAATGTTTTGTCAATCAATTCATTTAATTATTTTTTATTTTTTACTTTCCACAAAGAGAAAAGCACTGATGCATAGTGATGCTCTGATACAAGATTTACCTGCATTCAGGAAACCTGGGGAGGAATAACAGCRGGAGTCCTTGAGTCAAACATTTACAGCGACACGAGGGGGAAGCCTGGACTCGCCGTCTTCATTACAAGCAACAGATCGTTGTGATGATGAAGCGTGATGATTCCTTTCATGGGAAACAGAGTCTCGTGTCTAATGGCCCCATCATTACAGGGGAGTGTAAACAGAAGAAAACACCAAATACATGATGGGATTAGCTCTGGAGTTAGTGTTTGTTGTGGTTTTTCCAGACCGCAGGTTCATGTGTGCTTGGTGTTCATCTTTGTGAGCGTGTCGTCTCTCTGACACCTCCAGCAGAGCAGTGAGGACATTTTGTCTGGAGCAATCCAGCGTGACATCAAAGCAGCTCTTAGAACAATCCCAGTTATTACAAACAAATAATGACTTGTGATTGTGAGTTCAGATCAGAGTTTCATGCAGATGTCGAAACGTGGAATCAGACTGCAAAGAAAACTGAAACTGTATTTTACAGTAGAGTTTATTCATGCTCATTATTTATTCGGAATGAACCTATCAGACTCAGAGTTGTTCTGTTTGCCCAGAGAAACAACTGAGAAGCAATGAGACACCAGACAGGAACAGTTAAGTGTTTATTTACAACGTGTGCAGTGCTGTACAAGAATGTGGTAAACAAGTAAAGAGTACTGGTAAGTATAGTGGAATAGACTGAAATATTTTTTGCAGAGAGTCTGTTGGACTACATGATTTCTTCTTTTTTGCAGGTTTGGGTAGAGGACTAAGGGATTCCAGGAAGGTGGAGCAGACCAAGGCGCCCAGGTGAGTTTAAGGAGACATAGCCTGCTTTTAAATCCTTCTTTTTTTACATTTAAATCATTCAGTTGGGCTGTATATAAAAAGGAATTGCAATGCTTTCCTCCTTATTGTAACTCCACAAGCCCCTCTTTTACCCCTTTTCTGAGGCGTGTCTCAGATCAACTCATTTTGAGGCTGTCTCTTKCACTTCATACCCCACCCCCATCAAGCTTCCAGAGTGGTTCATTCTAGTTTGATAGAGGGTTTTGTGACATTATAGCAGCGAAGAAACATCTTATTCACAAATTAATTTAAAAAGATGTCTACAAGGGAAGACTTGTTCATCCAGCCTTACATGYTGGAGCCAGAGTCTGACCCAGCAGAGGAGAATAAAAATTATGAAATTGTAGTTGGTAAGTTCAGACCTTATTTGACAGGTGCATTGCAAATACTGTGTCTTAATACTTTAGAAAATGTCACAGAGAATAGAGGAAACTGACCGGGTTGAAAAATATGACCCAAACAGAATGTAAAGATATCTACACAGCACCGGGAGACTAAATTCAAATTTTCTGCACTCCTAGAGACACAAAGTATACAACAAAATGGATTTAGCAGCTATGAAATGGATTTTGCACGATATGTCCTCTTTAATGTTTTGGTTGGAGAGTGACGAGACAAACTGAAGGCTGGAGGTGAGATTTTTGATGCTTGATATTGTTTTGGTTGGTTGTTCCAGAAGGAGAGCCAGAGGGGACCTGGTGGGAAAAAATCAAAAGTTTAAAGCAGCTGTATTAGGCCTTTTTGCCTCTAAGCTATATTTGTTAATTTATATTATTAAAGTTTTGCCAATTTCAATTTATTTTTAATCTCCATTGCTTCTGTTTAATGCTGTCACTGTGCTAGGCGGCAGGACATGAGGTAAGGGTGTAAATAAAGCTGAAGACCATCCAAATTCACAGCCACTTTCTTCCAGTCTTCCAAAGGACCCGGCCCACGTGGACCAGATAGGCTGGGTGCTTTGAAGGACACAGTCCCTGAATTTGGAYGCAGCCATGGAATGCAGAGAAGGTGGTTAATGTCAGAAAATCCAGAATCCCTACAGAAGCAAGTGTTTTATGTTTTCTTCTTGTGTATTTTCTTCCAGAACATTTCTCAGAATAACAGAGTGAAAGATGGGCAAACAGGTGGGCCTCATCCACAGTAATGTGGGTGTTGCTCCGATCTGTCATGATAAAAAAAGAGCTGAGTTCAAAGGCAAAGCTCTTGATTTGCCTTCAACCCTCATTTATTGTCAGGAGGTTTGGATTGTGCACATCAAAAGGATTTAGCTGAGGAGGTCCAGGAAACTAAGTAGGAAGCCTTTTCAACACCTCCTTTTGGAGGTTTCCGGGTGTGTCCCACTAAAAAGAAACCCCCAAGCAAGACCAAGAACTTGCTGGAGGGATTATATATCCTTTCTGGTCTGGGAACACCTTGGGAAACCCCTGGATGAGATGGAGAGTGTCCCTGGGGAGAGGGGATGTCTGGGTTTCCCTCCTGTTGTCTAACAGTCGATGCAACAGCTCTTGCTTGTGGCGCAAAAGAGATCTTGTTTGTTGCAGTAAACAAATGACATTTTCTTTTTCTGGTGAGCAGGACTGTCATCAGTTCGGGCTTTTCCCAATAAACACAATGTTTTCTGACAAAAAAAATGTGGAGTCTTGCATGCAACTCATTCAATGATGATATTTTTCCCTCTTACATTTTTTAGACAACTGATCCGAAAACTTTAACCTCAAAATTAGTCCACATTTCCAATAAAAGCACTTGATTTTAAACTACCGAGTGCAGAAATGTTAAAAAAAAACAGTTGCCATGTTATCCAACTGTAATACAAATTTTGAGGGAACTTTTAAAATGTGGCAAAACAAAAGAGAATTAGGCATGTTTACATCTACTGGACTGTAGCAAATCAACCAAGTTACGCAAAGTGTAATTTTTGTCAAACTTTGAARTTACACAAGGCTGTAATAAACAGGAAGTGGAGGCTGTAAACTGTCTTGGACCAAACGTCTTGGTACAATGGAGAGAAGTGTTGCTATTKGGCGAGTTGTAATTGTTCATTTTAGCTAGTATTGGCGACGTTACATGCTTTCTGGTGACATAAAGAAAGAAATATGATTCTCATGGGAATATCCAGGAAGATACCAACAGCAGAAACAGCTGATCAATCATGTGAGGTAAATGTAACGTCAAAACTTATAAGTGTTTTCATTTTCTCTTTTGCGCATTAACTCTTTTTTCGGAAAGTCCAAAACCCACCWCGCTGCCTCAAAATTGAGTTGAATTCTGCCGTCTCCATCAACCTCTTAATGCGATGCTTCAAAACGCGCATTWAAAAAGTGGTGATGGAAGCACGACTTGTACGGCTTCAGAGGAGGTGGGTGGGTGGTGTGTCTTCTGGAGACACAGGTCAGGTTTAAAGAGACGAAGGACACGTGCTAACTAGAAGGCAGAATTTGTTGAATAAAATTCACGCTACGGTTGTCAGACATGTGACGAATGACTTACTAACACTTGAGGAGGGTTTTTACTGAGACTTCAGTCGAGAATCTCAGCAGATGCTCCACGTGCAAGAACAAGAGCAGGCATTTGGACGGCACCTGTGCTGACCGACTCCACAGGTCCACACACAGAATCACRCGAAAAGACAAGACCGCCCAGAGAAACATGTGGCGTTTCACACACACCCAGTGAAAAAGACCTGATAAGAGGACGCATGAGAACATGACCCTGACCTGTTCTGTCCAATCACAATCAAGATCATCATTCTATCATTCTATTTGATATTTATTCATAACCCTTATTTACCAGGTGAGTATTATACAGTTTTATTAAATAATATTTTCAGTACTCTGATAATAGATGACAAAAATCCTAAATATGACAGACTGTAATTGTTTTAGATTTAACATATAGTGTGTACGTTACATAAAACTGCAGGAAAATTGACTTTTTTCTATTGAAGTGGATAAGTGTGTGTTTTTTACAGTAGTGTCTCCTAACAGCTGGAAACCACTCTGTTCTGCAGGCAGTAAATCAAACCTAAAAGTTTTAATACATTCGAAAACATTTCTGAAGGAGCATGCAGATCCGCTGCATCCTGCTGTACAGTTTTAGCTCATTTTAAACAGATGAAAGGGAAAAAAAAAGCTGAACGTTTTATGTCAACTTTGTGTTAAAAATACACGAAGCCTGCCTTCAGAGTCCCGCTTTCATCGCAGCAAAAGCTGAAATAACTTCAGTCCACTGATCTTAAAGGTATCCACTTCTGACAGGTTCTTTCAAGTGCTTTTAAAACGCTTTCAAGAATGTTTCAAACTCCTTTTTGTTGTTRTTGTTTTTGTCTTATCATCTAGGGAATGTCTTCATGTCTTCAGCAGGACTTTTCCTTTGGTTCGTTCGCGTGTCTAGACAGAATGCTTTCCTGCAGGTCTTTGAATCGGCTCCCTATTGTGTACCTGAGGACGGCTGGATGGCTTCACCACATCACAGAGCTTTTGTCTGTTTGAGTTTCTTCTCTCATCACAGACCAGACATACATGTAATTGCCTTTAAACTGCTGTCGCCCTCTCTTTCCTYGGCCCTGCGCCGTTTGATGGCGGTGAGACATGTGTACTCTCAGAAGGCTGAATTAGATGTAGATCAGTCATTCGCAGACTGAACAGGATCAGAATTGTTAGGAAAAGACGAGAGAGGGATTATATAAACCCGACACCTGAAATTCTAACTAGTGCGCGGAACAAGACAGGTGTCTCTTTTCAAAGTAATGGACAAGAGTGCTGGAGGTGTGTGTGAATGTGTGTGTGTGTGTGTGTTCAGATCTGGTGAGGGTGATTACACTGTCGGCTGTAACATTAGGAAGGAGCTGAGGAGCGTTCAGTGTCTCACACTTTCCTCTGATGTCTCAACTCCTCCAACCTTTTAATACAAAGTCCTGTACTGTTCTGATCTAAGGCAGGAGAGTCTCTGTGGTGTAAAAGGTCTGGGAGCATTTTAGTCAAATAACCCAAAAGCCCCCRTTCACACACACCCACCCACCCACACACCTGGCCTCCATTTTTCCTCCTTCCTGATGCAATCTTGCACGTCATGGCAGCCACTTAGCTGTGTCCCCTTTTAGAGGACTTTTTCCTATTTAATTTGTCAAACACTGTGGTCCAGATCGGACCCAAACAGAAGATGACAGATGAGACAAAAATAGATGGTTTTGTGGGTCTTGATAGGGAACGAAAAGTCCAGTTTCCAAAAAAAAACAAAAAAAAAACAGGCCCGTTTGGGACATGCGTGTTCAATTATCTTGCTTTAAATCACAAACTGCCATCAGAGTATTGGTGAGCTCATGATGTATACTGTATACCATTTGGCATGTTTTTGTCCTGCTCAGTAGTGAGGACCTGTTTCTTTGAGTTCCAGATGGGGGGAAAGCCGACAGTGGTGGTCCTGTTAATGAGCACAATCTAACATCAATGATTGTCGTCCACTGTCTTCAGCATCTGAAGCAGACAGAATGCCCTTTAGGTACAGATTACCACAGAGAAGTCACGATGGAAAAGTCTTTGGGCCGCTAATTTGTGTCCATAAGACCAGGTTTCCAACTAATGTCAGTGAATCAGTACAACTCTACCAAAACTTTACAGTGTATTAAAAAAACAAACAGTCATAAACCAACAGATGTAAAACATGTTCAAGTAAATCACAGAGGAGAGCAAAGGTCAGGCTAATAAACGTCTCAGGAAAATGTCAGTCTAGAAAAGTTAAAATGGCTGATTTTAACTCTTTTCTGTAAATATTCTCAAAGAAAAGGTTTCTGTAATGGAATGTGTTTTTTACGGAGTGCCTAAACTGCTTTACATATTTTTGTGTTGTTGTAAAAAAAAAAAGGAAACTTTGATTGTCAACCCAGCATGTTTTTAACTGATGGGGGTTGTTCAGGGAAGAGATATGCACAATTGGGTCTAACCACAGTGGAAAAACTCCAA